TAACCGTTATCAATGAAAAAATACATTTTAGAGACTTTTCAGATGCGAATTTACTTAATCTGCAGCAAAAAATAAGTTCTGAAAATGTTGATTCTGTGTATGAATATTTTGATAACATAAATCTTACCTATGAAACATTCTTAAATATTCTAAATTACTATATAGAAGTAAATTGTCCGGTTGTCACAAAAGCTGTAAAGACAAATAAAAAAAATAACTGGATAACTCCAGATATTTTGAGGATGGGAGCTGATATAAGAAATTTATTTTGGTTAGTAAAAAATTCTAATGATGTGAATTTACATATTAGATACAAAGAAGCAAAGAGACAATATGTTAATAATATAAATGGAGCAAAAACATCTCATTTTCAAAAGGGATTGCACAATAAAACTTCAGCAAAAACAAAAATATATATGGAAACGGGTAAATCACCAAGATGGTAAAACATCAAAAGGTTCTCAAATTAAACAAATTGAAGTAGGAGGACTGTCAATTATTGAACCAAAACAAATAGCTAAAGTTTTTGCAGAGCATTTTGCCACCTCCACAAAAAAAGCACTACAGTCTCATTTCAATGATTTGAATTTTAAAAATTTTACTGCGTCATGTGTCTCTCAGACCTTTTACTTCTCTCCTGTTGATTATCGTGATGTAATTGAATTCACTTATTAAAAAATGTTAACTCTATGGGCATTGACTGCTTTTCCACAAAGATAATAAAACGTATTAGTGATCACATCTCTCAAATTCTAACAGACTTAATCAATCAGTCTATTCAGCTAGGTATTTTCCCAGATTATCTGAAAGTAGGATATGAAACTCCTATCTTTAAAAAAGGTGATAATAATTTAATTGATAATTATAGACCTATTACAGTGCCTACAATCTTAAGCAAAATCTTTGAAAAGTGTGTCCACAAAAAAATGCTAATATTTCTTAAAAAATATGAAATAATATGCAAAAATCAAAATGGATTCCTTCCAGAAAAATCTACTGAAAGTGCAGCAATAGATCTTTTTAATTTCATACATACTTCTATCGATCAAAAGTTGTTTGTGAGTGCGCTTTTCTTTGATTTATCAAAGGCGTTTGATTCAATCAACTTAGATGTCGCTATTCAAAAATTGGAAGGGCTTGGTTTTAGAGGTAACTTTTTGTCTTAGTTGTCATCTTATATAAATAACAAGCAGATCTATGTCAAAGTCGGAAATTGTAAATTTAAACTAGAAAGTGTTGATATGGGTGTGCCTCAGGGATTAATTTTAGGACCTCTAATTTTTCTATGCTACATAAATGATATGCCTAATCATATTAACTTATAAAACATAATTTTATATGCAGATGACACAACAATTGCCACCAACGCAAAATCAGTAGATGAATTAAATAGTAAATTAAATGTTTTATCTAATGAATTTACATCATGGTGTTATAGAAATTCTTTAATTGTTAATTCAAACAAAACCGTTTGCTTTCTGTTCTACTCCAGAAATCAAATTACCCAGAATTGTAAAATAAATGTCAATAATGCAGAAATTATGCTCTCAGATTTTACAAAATTTTTGGGCATACATATTGATAGCAATATGGGTTGGGATAGCCAAATATCTAATGTTTGTAAAAAATTAAACAGCTCATACTATGCAATACTAAAATTAAAATCAATATTTACCCAAGAGCAACTGCTTAATGTCTACCTACTATGCTTTAACATTATTCTTTGGGGTGATGCAATCAATGCATCTAAAGTATTTATCTTACAGAAAAGAATAATTCAGCTTATTTTTAATCTAGAATTAATGTAAACTTGTAAATATAACTTCAAAAAATTTAAAATATTAACATTTCCCTGTATTTACATTTATAAAACGTTGCTATATGCTAAATGCAACATACACCAATTTTTACAAAATTCAAATTACCATGAATACTGAACTAGGAATGCAAATTTATTCAGAACACCAAGACATTCAACAGCTTTATTTGAGAAATCGCCTGAATTTGTTGGAATTAAATTTTTTGTCCACGACCACTTAATAATAAATCAATATTCTACCTCCTAACTAAAAGCATATAGTACCCATATATCACGGAGTGAATTATGATAATTCACGCTTTTGTAATTCTGGCACATTCCGGTAGATAACTAAAGATAGGCGATACTTTTCATAACGATATGTTCTAGATCGAAAAATCAAAAAATCGAAAATCAAAAATCGAAAAATAAAGTGGAAAAAACAACAGTTAGTTACCTATGTTTAATAAAAACTTTCCATTCTACACTTAACTTTTATTTAATAAAGAAACCATAATGGTCGTGGACAAAGTATAGTATTAGACTCGCAATTTATGGCCATTATTCACTTGGGTGACTTGCGCCCCTCGCCTACGGCTCGGGACGCAAACGTCACCCTGCGTGAATAATGGCTACCATAAATTGCTCGTTTAATAATATACTATTAATCAACTCCCTGATTTCATTAAATCTGAAAAGAAATATGAACCTTTTAAAAGAAATCTTAAAAATTATTTAGTAGATTCATGTTTTTATAATTTATGTGAATACCACCATATTTTCAGGTAAATATTTTTTTAATTGTATATTTTTAATATATATCTTAGATATACAGGGTGGCTCACGCTCAACGGGACGGAGCTTTATGGGAAAACGACCAAAGATATAAAACATTCGCTCGAACATTCGTTTGGGAGGAATACGTAGGTTACTGACGGCTACAATTTAAAATTTGTTAGATGTATACAGGATGTCCCACATAAGAGAAAATATACAAAGTTATATTATTTTTAATGGAACACCCTGTTTTTTATTTTAGAATTAAAAACTACATCAAAAATAATGTCAGTTAACTAAAGGTTCCCTATTACTATTATTATTAGTTTTCGATTTATTTGAATTTTTAAGGAAAAAAAGTCTCCCAGAAATTAATTGTTTACTCTTGTTTGAATAATTTTTAATGAACTAATTTTTTTTTCTTATGTGGGACATCCTGTATACATCTAACAAATTTTAAATTGTAGCCCTCTGTAACCTACGTATTCCTCCCAAACGAATTTTTTATATCTTTGGTCGTTTTCCCATAAAGCTCCGTCCCGCTGAGCGTGAGCCACCCTGTATATATTTTTTTGTATACTGTACCTATATTTATTTGTATTTTAATATCTTTTATTCATATATATTATGACTTATCCTATATTTATTTATAATACAATACTCTACAGGTCATAAACCCAATTACAGAGCAGAAATTGACAGAATATAATTATTAATAGATCACATTTTTTATATGTACATAAATATATACATAAAAAGAACTTGTATTTCGTAATAGGTAACAAATTAACTAAGATAAAAAGTGAGATTTTATATCTGACAAATTGCAACTAAATATATCAAGTTCATTGACAATAGAATTTGTTACTGT